TCATTGAGCTTTAATTATCTAATTATAGAAAAGCCTACCCTGAATTAAATTTAAAGCTCTTGTCAGTGATTCTCAAGTGGGGGAACTGGAGGAGGAAGGCAGCAGTTCCCCCTAAGAGGGACATATCAGAAGTTCCAGAGAGGCACATTTAGTTTAAAATATATATATTCAATATTATAATTTCGTATTTAAAAAACAAAAATAGAACCCTAATTATCTGCAAAATACAACTAAAAATAAAGTGGCAAGATCTTGGCTGGTGGATAAATACTTGGCTTTATGTTCCCATTTCAGGGACCGTGAGACTTGTATGTTTATCCAGAGGGAACAGAGGAGATTAGGAACACTGCTTTGGTCCCCATACATTATTTCAAACCTGTATTTCATATATAGCCCCACAATTAAAAATTGGTGAAATAAAAGACTTCTGACCTGAGAATAAAGTAGGTCATTCCCTCAACTCGCAAGTTCTAATATCTAGGTATATGCAAGGTGGGGAATTACTTTTGTTATTAATGAAGATATTTTATCAAAGAAGGTATGATGGATGCACATATGCCTGAATGCACTGTTTTCCTCCATCACTCTGGTCTCAGAAGGGCTAGCTGTTCCCGGAACATGGGAGTCACTCCTTCTGAGCCGCTGCCAAGAAAAACACCTAAAATCACCCCCCTCCCCCGTTCCTGTGTGCTCAGCGCTGTGGTGACCTGACTGTTCAGTACTATTTGGGGTTTAGTTTGTTCCTGTTGAGGTTTGTTTGTTTAATTTGAACGTGAGGGCAGATCTTTAGTCAGGTTGTGATAACTCGAAGTGGTATTCTATTGCAAAGAACAATTGCACAGGATTTCTGATAACCTGGGTAGGAGGCACTAGTAAGGTTCTAGAGAACGCATAGGTAAATATGCAGAAAACAGTTGTAAGGAGGGAAAAGGTAGGGTTCTACATTTCAAGTCAATTTTAACATAAGTACAAATTTTTACCCAGCTAAAAAGATGTTCTTAAATTCAACTTAGTGTTTGTAAAAACTGGTATCATGTGGCCCAAACCTAAACTGCCAAGTCACAACTTTCTTATCTATAAACTAGAGGCCCAGTGCACGGATTAATGCAACAGTGGGGTCCCTCAGCCTGGCCTGCGCCCTCTTGCAATCTGGGACCCCTCAAGGGATGTAGTAGTGCTCGAAGCAGTAGGCGGCCAGGGAGGAGCCTGATCTTGGCCCCTCGCGTAGCCACAGCTGTGCTTGCCAGCCATCAGCCCCACGTCTGGTGCCCATCTGTCAGCTGAGCGGCGCTCCTGCTATGGGAGCCCACTGACCACAAGGGGGGTGGGGGCAACTCCTGTCTGCCCCCTGGTGGTCAGTGCACATCATAGCTACCGGCCGGTTGTCTGGTCTCTTAGGCTTTTATATAGAGGTAATGACACCCTATGAGGCGACTCTAAAAACTTAAGTAATGTATATGAAAGTCTTTTCTTTATGGTAAAGGCTATGCAAATTATCACTTATAAAGATGTATTATCTTAAAAATGCCTTTCACAGAATGGTAGATTAGAATAGGTTGAAATTTGGGTCTCCATCTTCCACTTTAAGCTTAATTCACAACTCATTTGAATCCATGCTATCCCCAAAACATTTCAAGTGCATCAAAACATAACAAAACATCCCAAGTTGCATAAAATCGTTAAGTCCCAGGTTGGTCGCTAAAGAAGTAAAATGGCTCTTTCATCAGAATCATACAAGGACTAAAAACCACACTGAGGAGAGGAGGGACACAGATAAAGGCATAGAGACAAAAGACAACAGGACAAACCTGGGGCACAGAAGACCCCAAAGAAGGCAGGAGAAAGGAAGCGAGTACATAGCCTGGGATAAGGCTCACGGAACTACAACCTGGGCTCAACAGGACCATGTAAAGGGCATGTCACATTACGAGCACAGAGTATGATTTATTCTAAAAGACACTCAAAAGCATAAGAGCTTTTATTTTTTTGCTTGATTTGGTTCTTTTGACAGTTAATTTTATTGATAAAAATCCCAGCAATACTCATATGGTTGTATTTCATTAGAATTCACTACACACTATTTACACTATTCAGTCTTGCCCTGAATTCAGAAACATTCAGGAAAGAAGAGTATGAGATGCTTACACCATACTCATTTATTATTCCAAAATCCTGGAACCGTTTTCGTGGTCTAACGACCTATTTTAGAAGGCCGTTTAGATGAATTTACATGGAATAAAAAGTTGGATGCTTTAAGATGGAGAATAAAGAAAATTCAAGTACAGCAGTTGCCATCAGTGAGTTCTCTTAGTTTTCCAACTTCTTTCAGTGCATATAACAGTCAGGTATTTATAGTACAAGATGTATAGGACCAAGAACCAGATCAGTCATCCATTGTATAAAGCACCATTACTAAAAAACCTTCCTCAGATATAGAAATAATTAGTCATATAGGCAGCTTTACACACACACACACACACACACACACACACACACTCCTTAGCTTTAATTTTTAAGGCTAGACAGGGCAGTTCGGTTCTGAACTATAGGCAAAACCTCCTTTAAGTTTAGGTGCAGCATACAGTTGCCGTACATAGATATCAGCATAACGGCAAATGTGGAAACTTCTTTTAAAAAATATTTTTATTCATTTCAGAGAGGAAGAGAGAGGGAGAGACAGAAACATCAATGATGAGAGAGAATCACTGATTGGCTGCCTCCTATCCACCCCCAACTGGGGATCAAACCCGCAACTCAAGCATGTGCCCTGACCAGGAACCGATCTATGACCTCCTGGTTCATAGGCTGACGCTCAACCACTGAGCCACGCCAGCTGGGCGTGAAAACTTTTTTTTTAACCTTCAAGAAGTATTAACTGACTTGAAATTTCAGGTGTTGCAAGATGCATTAATCCCTAAGTGTAACTGAAAATCCTACTTTGTGATCATAACCATCTTTTTTAAAAAATATAATTTATTGATTTTTTACAGAGAAGAAGGGAGAGGGATAGTTAGAAACATCAATGAGAGAGATCAATCAGCTGCCTCCTGCACGCCCCCTACTGGGGATGTGCCCGCAACCAAGGTACATGCCCTTGACCGGAATCGAACCTGGGACCCTTCAGTCTGCAGGCCGACGCTCTATCCACTGAGCCAAACCGGTTCGGCAGATCATAACCATCTTAAAGAGCAATCTACCTTCATATAGGGAAGGTAGTTCCATTAAAGACTGTTGCCAAAGTCTCCCTTTGGATAGTCCACTTCTCGTTAAAACTGTTGAATTTTTAATACCTTGATTTTTACTTTAAATATCCAAGAGAGGAGGATAATGTGCCGTCTTTCCCAAACTTATTTAACCACAGACCACTACTTTAAAGAAAGGCTACTAAAGAACACATTTTTGGAATTACTAAAAGAAGTAGGGGTCTTCCTGACCATGCCTCTAGACCACAAAGACATAAGTTTTTCAGAAGGATATCATTAACTACCCTAAATACTGATTCTAAAAACATACTTGTTTTGAACAGATACTTTTAAAGTCCATGTACCATTAAAATATTTTCCTTTCTTCAGGAAGAAAGCAGACAAGTAAACTAGATTAATATCCTCATAAGATCCCAGAGACTGTCCAGAGCACTGCATCAGGAAATGGAAGGACCCTACACTCTCAGTCCCATGAAGGAACTAAAAATGGGCTTTCCAATATCCAAGCAAAGTTGTAACTTCTAAGGGCAAACATTCTAGTTCACTGTAGTATCTGTGGTATCCCAGCAGTGTCTGATTCCTCTCCACACAGGCAAGAAACATGCACATATGAACAAGTAAAAACTTAACTGAAAAGAGACAACTCAAGCTCAGCTTGCTCCCTGTGACAGACATAACTGATGCAGCAATATGGGCGAGAGATATCTCTGAGCACGAGGTCATTGGCAGCCGCAATAACATAATAGGGCTGTGATGTACTCGTTGGTTCTACTGCCTAACTTAGGGTTCAGCTTGCTTCTCTTCCAAAGTCTTAATTTCACAACGTGAGATTTATTAGCATCTAGACAGGCCATCAAATGCCTTCCCCAGGACCCACCACTCCCTGAAATTTCCTTAGAATTTCCACCTTTTAAAATAAGATTGGGTCCTAGTATAGTGCAAATGCCTTAGGGTAGTGTTTGATGTATTTTTACTTGTTTGTGTCTCACAGCCGATCTAAAGCTCCTTGGGAACAGCTGTCTCTCTCAGTTCCCATCCCCAGTGCTCTGCACGGAGGGTGTCAGGTACTTAGTAATGAACGATACTTGTAGAATGAATGAGGAGTAACATTAGGATATGTAAACTCACTTATATCTTAGTGCAGTGGTTCTCAACCTTGGCTGCACATTAGAATCACCTGGGAATCTTTTTAAAATCCTGATTTCTGGGCCTCCAGAAATTCTGTTTCTTTGTTACTATTGTTGTGGCCCCACCCCATAACAAAGAAGCAGAATTTCCGGAGGATGAGGCCCAGAAATCAGGATTTTAAAAAGATTCCCAGGTGATTCTAATGTGCAGCCAAGGTTGAGAACCACTGCACTAAGATATAAGTGACTTTAAGTGCGAATGGATTTCTTCAGGCTCTTTCCTAAGAAATTTTGGGTGTACCATCAGTTACAGACGTGTTAAGAGAACTGTGAAGAGGAGAAAGTGATCCTGAAAAAGATGCTCTTCTGTTCTTCCTGGGAACATCGTCCTGCTATGGATCAGACTAAAGGAGCAGGGTTCTTCAAAGGAAACCCCAGATCTTTGTTTGAATGCCGTATGAAATGATCTCTTTTTTAAAAAAATGTATTTTTATTGATTTCAGAGAGGAAGGGGAAGGGAGAGAGAGATAGAGACGAGAGAGAATCATTGATCGGCTGCCTCCTGCACGCCCCACACTGGGGATCGGCCTACGACCTGCACGTGTGACCTGACTGGGAATCCAAACGTGACCTCCTGGTTCATAGGCTGATGCTCAACCACTGAGCTAACCCAGCCAGGCTGATGGTGTGTCTTCTTGGAAGTCTCTCTACACTTCAAAAATCTACTTCCAGGAGACATTAACAACGGGCCTTTGTTTGCTGACAGCAAAGTAAGACCAAGAAACTGGGACCCTAATCTTTCAGATGTCTTTTCTAACCCCAGAATTCCTGGTGTGGTATTCAATCAATTGCTAATGCTTGAATTATACAACATAAAGAACATTGGATTAGCAAAATATTATCTAGCCAATGCAATGTGCTCAATTGTTAAAAACCAGCTTCTGCCGCTTGGCGCGGTCCCTGGTTCGGGCGGGCGGTTGCCGGGACAGGAGCTTGTCCCGGGCTACTTGCCCTCGGGGCTCCCCATGGAGGAGACTTAGCGCTCGGCTGCAGCCCCGGATGCTCGCACCTCCCACTGGACGGAGATGGAGGCGCTGGGCCCGCGAGCACAGAGGAGGTCGGCCCCCTCGGCCTGTGTGAGCGGCCATGACCCGAGGGAAGGCCGCTGCGTGGTCGCCAGCCCGCGGGATTGGGAAACCGCCTCCTCGCCTCCAGCACCGGCCTCTCGGTCCTGTGATCCCTGTGATCCCTGTGACTCCCAGGCGCCTCTTCAATCACAAGCGCCATGAGCCCGGGGGTGGGAAGTATGACTTCTGCATCGGCCTGGGCCTGGCTATGAGCTCCAGCATCTTCACTGGAGAGAGCTTCATTTTTGAAAAAGAAAGGCCTTCTGCGACCGGCCCGCAAAGGCTCCACGAGAGCAGGTCAAGGTGGCCATGCATATCTTAAAGAATGGCTGTGGTGGGCCGGACTGCTCTCCAGGGGAGCCGGTGAGGTGGCCAACTTCGCTGCTTACGCCTTTGTCCCAGCCACGCTCGTGTCTCTGCTGAGAGCGCTCAGCGTCCTCGTCAGTGCCACTCTGTCTTCATACTTCCTCAATGAAAGGCTGGATCTTCATGGGAAGATCGGGTGCTTGCTGGGCATTCTGGGCTTCAGGGTTATGGTCATTCATGCGCAGAAGGAAGAGGAGATCGAGACGTTAAACGAGATGTCACACAAGCTCGGGGATCCGGGTAAGAACAAAGAAAAGCTTCACTGGTCTCACTGCCTTTTTACTCCTTAATTTACTTATTTTTTAATTTTAATCCAAACTTGAAGCTTTGTCTGGTGTGGTTCAGTTGTTAGAGCGTCAGCCGGCACATCGAGGGGTTGAGGGTTTAATTCCCGGTCGAGGCCACGGTTATGGTCATTCATGAGCAGAAGGAAGAGGAGATCGAGATGTTAAACGAGATGTCACACAGGCTCGGGGATCCGGGTTTTGAGGTCTTTGCAACCATTGTGGTCATTGTGTCCTTGATACTAATCTTCGTGGTGGGACCCCGCCATGGACAGACGAACATTCTCGTGTACATCACGATCTGCTCTGTGATCGGAGCGTTTTCCGTCTCCTGTGTGAAGGGCTTGGGCATAGCGATGAAAGAGCTGTTTGCTGGCCAGCCTGTGCTGCAGCACCCCCTGGCCTGGGCCCTGCTGTTGAGCCTCGTGGTCTGTGTGAGCACGCAGATCAACGACCTGAACAGGGCCCTGGACATATTCAACACCTCCCTCGTCACCCCCATCTACTACGTCTTCACCACCTCCGTGCTGACCTGCTCAGCTATTCTCTTTAAGAAGTGGCAGGACATGCCTGTGGACGACATCATCGGCACCTTGAGTGGCTTCTGCACCATCATCATGGGGATTTTCTTGCTGCACGCCTTCAAAGACATCAGCTTCAGCCTAGCCAGCCTTCCCGTGTCTTTCCGAAAAGATGAAAAAGCGATGAACGGCAATCTCACTAACATGTATGAAGTTCTTAATAATAACGAAGGAAGTTTAACCTGTGGTTTTGAACAGTACACTGGGGAGAATGTCTCCTGAAGAAATGGAAACCTGACAGCTTTTTAAGAAAGCAAGAATCAAAAGTTGATCATTGTTGTTATAAAGTGAATTTGAGAAGCAGAATGTGTCGGGGAAAGCAGTATTCTCAAATAATGCTCTCCAGAGACAATCTTTTTTAAGGTTTCACTAATTTGGACCAAGAAATTACTTTTCTTATATTTAAATGATGGTAGCTCACTAAAATAACCTCAGTACCTGGCCAATTTTTGTTAACACTGTATTATTGTAGCAGTATTAAAATATTTCTTTCACAAAAAACAAAACAAAACCCAGCTTCTGGAATCAGATAAACATGAATTTGAATTCTGGCCCCACCACTTACTCAAACTCTGCAAACCTGAGTTTCCAGATCTGAAAAGAGAGCTATCAAATAAAGCCTAGCCCATGGGATTGCAGTAAGGTTTAAATAAGAATGCATGTGAAGTGCTTAGCACTGGGCTGGCACATGGGAAATTCTCAAGAAATGTGAACCATCATTTGAAACCCTCGGTTCCCATTTTATCACAACCTCCTTGTGTATCCTTGGACTAATCAGTATGAAGAAGCTAATGAAAACATGGAGACAATTACCTGACCTCTAATGCTGGGATTATCAATCATGAATAGAGTAATAGAAAATGGACCAAAATTTTGAAACATAAAAGCCTTAAGCCATTCTAGATATTTTGGGGGGTTGTACTTGAAGCTTGCATATGTTTGACCACAGATGATTCAGCATTAGTGGAAAAGCCAAACTTCAGGGCAGGTATTCTCAAATACTTCAGTGCCTTTCGTAGATGATGGACTCTATGAAACACCTGTTGGGGAAGGGGTTGGGGGGTGTCTCAACATTAACTGGCCCAATAACTATCTTGTCATCCTTTTTTCACAGATGAGGTTAAATCCGTTTTCTTTCTCATACCTTAAAAAATAGCTGTTATACATGTATTACATCATGTCCAAATAGAGGCCAACGTTCATGCAAGCTGCTGTGTTATTATAAGTGCATAAGGCCCCTTTGTAGGAATTAGATAAAGGGCACCCAGAACACAGACTGGTTTTCCATCTCCACTTATCCTGAGTTGCACATCTATGCAAGGGCATGACCAAACATGGGAATCATGCAGACAAGCACAAAGATCTTCAGTATTTAACTGGCATACCCATATGACTGTTTCTATGATACACACACACACACGCACACACACGCACACACACTCGCACGCGCATCCTCAGACGTGGCTGAAAGTTGTCAAGAACTTAACTGACTAAATGGAGAAAGATATTCATGAAAACTAAAAATATGGAGTTTCAAAAATTTCAAGATAGCAGGTCCTATCCCCTCCCTCATCTTTTGCTATCCAGTACTGGGATACTGTAGCCAATAGGAACTTGTAGGTAGACGCTTCAACACTGCAAAACTGATTCCTGGCAGAAGCTATGGTCTTTCTCCAGCAGTTGCTCATTATCTCAAAAGAACAAAGGCAGGAAGGAGTAAAAACAAAAAACAACCCTCAGATACCAATGGATCAACTTATCTGGGCTTGCAAAAAGAGTAGTAAAGGAAAGGCTGTTGTCTTGTTTTGACTGCATTAAAAATTTGTAAACCCAGGCAAAAATATGCTAAGTGCTAAAGGAAACAGTCTAAAAGCGGTAACTGTCAATTCAGACTCCTGGAGCTTTTCCTTCCCAGACACCTGATACTCACATAGAAAAGACACAAAATTACTTTTATTTACCATTACATATGCAGATCTATCCTCCTAAACTTTTTAATGATAAGTCTTCCTTACAAAGTAAGTATATGATATTACATTTTTAACACTTTTTGTACCTAGCCCTGTGACCTGAATAACACAGCAACTTCAAGAGCTATTTATGGAACAGAAATTCCAGAGTAAATATGACACCTTATTTAATACATGTCAAGGAGATAATGTACAAGAATATTCATTGTAGTGTCGTTTACAGTAAGTTTAAAAATAATATAAATGTCTAATAAAGGGACAAAGCATAAATAAAGTATAATATAGTCATATGGAAAACTATGAGTTAAAACAAAAAATTTAAGCTACCAGCTCAAAGTAAGGTATTATATGGATAAATTGCAGACACAACACAGGGTAAAAGAAAAGCAAATTGCAGAATGATACACATTAGAATATACTATTTATATACGATTGTAAGCTCTCAACATTACCTCTGCCTTAGAATTTATTATGACAGCGAAGTAAGATCAGGGAATTGGGATAGTTGTATATTCATTTTATGCACACAGAAATGTTCACTAAAAATAACAGAAAAGTAAGATGAATCGCCCTAGCTGGTTTGGCTCAGTAGATAGAGCCACCAGCCTACAGACTGAAGTCCTGGTCAAGGGCACATGCTCTGGTTGCCCGCTCGATCTCCAGTGGGGGGCGTGCAGGAGGCAGCCGATCCATGATTCTCTCTCATCATTGATGTTTCCCTCTCTCTCTCTTTTCCCTTCAATAAAAAGAGAGAGACAGAGAGAGAGAGAGAGAATATTTTTTTAAAGATGATTAACTATATAAAGTTCCCCAGTGGCAGGGAGGGAGTCTGATTTAGTAATGGAAATCACTTAGCCGTTTAAGTCGGAAGACGTGTGCTCTATCTCCATTCTGCTACTCACCAAGACACTTTATTTCACCAAGCTTCAGTTTGCTCACCTAAACGGGGTTGACAACGCCTACTTGCAGGATAAAGTGGGAAATGTATGCAAAAGAGTTCCACAGAAGATCTTCAACTTGCTTTTTTGCCCAATCAGTCAAGAGATCACGTAATCGCGCTCTAAAGCGGGAAAATGGTGAGTCTGCACCTTTTTCATCTAGTTTGGTAAATCGTTAAGTACGACAACGAACACAACAGGAGAAGGCAACCCCTCCCGCTCCTCTTCGCAATCTCCCACCGGCTGCCTCCTATCCTTTCAGAATTTAGCACAGCGCCCCTCCGCCCCACCCCACCCCACCCCCAAAAAACACCCTAGGCACACGGGGACTCCCCGGGGCGCACACGCGGGCGTGGA